TTTTTTTATATATATATATATATATATATATATATATATATATATATATATATATATATATATATATATATATATATATATATATATATATATATATATATACATATTTATATATCGAGCGGTATGTTAAAACAAACCGCTCGGTACGCTCGTACCATACTAAACCAAGCTAAGAGTGAAACTCTAGTACGGTACGAAATTGTAATCCTTACATTGAACAATATTAATTAACCAACAAGCAAAATAGTAATGGACACATAGGATTTGGATGTGCAGCACACTCTCATACCATTATAAAGATTTTGATTGGGTGACCACAAATCCTAATAGGATAAGCTGTCAAGAAAAGGACCAACTATATTAAACTATAACAACTACAATACAGTAGAAAGCCATGAGTAAATAACTTAGCTGTTAGTCTGAACGAGGATCAAAACACTTTTGGTGTTTCACACAGAACTATTTCAAGGATCTAAAAGCTTAAATGATAAACCATACTAGACATATGTGATTGTCTATTAATAATATTTACACACATGGAGCTGATGAGTCATTAAGTCATGAAGACAACCCACTTATCGAAATTCTCAAATGACATGGTTCGGAAATCCAGTGAAAGAACAGCTATAAATAGAGGAAAAATAATCAACTATGCTGCACATGTTGCTAAATCAAATATTTCATAGAGTGGTAAAACCACTTTCTTAAGAGCTGAATGCAGAACTTACACTGAGCAAGACAGCGGTTTCTAAAGCATGAGGATCTCTGAAAGTTACATAAGCAGTAGATGCATATTCTCCAGTCCTGCACACAAGAATCTCAGATTCTATCAAGGTAGTTTCATACAAAAATTTGCAAACAGAACAAACAGGTGATAAAGACATATAATCACCAAGAAATTGAAGAAATAGGTGATAAAAGCTTACTATATATGAAAAGGGAGAAGATGAGAAAGTAAGAATGATCATTCACTTCTCGTCACAAATTACCTTATGTTAGATACGAGTGAGTAGTAAACATGTCAAAATGCAGCAACTGGAATAACAAGACAACCTAAATAATATTCCTAAGACATGCTTCCATAAATTTTATGTAGAAACCAAAATCTGATGTTGCTTAAAGCTTTCTTCTATCTGAAGCAAAGGAAGCTAAACAAAATAATTTAAAGTTTGAAAAGCTACATTTTAGTACAATAGCTAATTTTTTAAGCTGAAAAGCAAGTAACAAAAATATGTTAGGTTAAGAACACGCCATCAAAAAATATCAGGTTATGGGCAAGAAATTTCATAACCTGACTCACTGCAAAGCATTTCTAGTTCCCTAAATAGTAAAAAGTAGAACAGCACAATGGTGAGACATAAAGTGCTTACAAAAGAGTGAGGTCACATTGTGATCATTACAGAGTGTCCACACCAACAGGAAACATAAGATTGATACAGGAAAAACAGGTTTGGCTTATGCAGAAAGAATGTTTGAAAATTTCTTAAGAGCCATGCCTGCGTCATCACCTGATAATCTCAATGTGCTCAATAGCCCCAGAAAAAGAAAAGAAGTCATATAGATCTCTCTCGGTTGCATTAGGAGAGAGGTTAGTGACTTCCACCGTGTATCCGCTTAGACTCATGATTCTGAAACTGCACAATCATGTAAATTTACCTGTGTTATCTGTGTAGTAATATACAATAGAACATAACTAGAAAAGAAAAAAAAATCAGACTGTTAACCAGTTAAATATAAAAAAGACAGCCAATAAGTCAACGAAATATGTGAAGCAACTAGAAGAAAGACTTTGGCACATAAACTCAAATTACTTGTGCAGTGACATTACCCAGTTCTTAAAATGGATTGAGATAATGCATTTGCTTGTTGATGACTTAAATTTGGCCTACATGCCAATATATTTTAAAATTGATGCTATCTAGATGGTTTTTGGGGGAAAGTACAAGGAGAAAAAGAAAGATTTGCATATGATTTTTATTGACTTAGAGAAAGCCTACGATAGGGTTCCTAAAGATTTATTATAGTAGGTTTTAGAAAAGAAAGGTGTATCCACTAATTATATTGATGTTGTTAAAAATATATATGATAATGTAATTACTAGTGTTAGAACTATAAGGGGTGTATCTAATGAGTTTTCTATTAGCATAGGATTACATCAAGTATCTATATTATGTCCCTACCTTTTCACATTGATAATGGATGAACTTACTAGTCACTTACATGAAAAACCTCCCTGGTGCATGTTATTTATTGATGATATTATTTTAGTTAATGAAAGCCTCAGTGAAATTAACTATAAACTTGAGTTATGGAGATAAGCCTTAGAAATTAAAGGCTTTAGATTAAATAAGACTAAAACTGAATAATATAAAATATAATTTTAGTGATTCTAGAAATAGATAGGAGAATAAATTTAAATTGGATGGACAAGAAATCCATTTAAATAAAAACTTTAGGTATCATAGATCAATCATTCAACGAGATGGAGAGATCGATTTATTATTCATAGAATAAAAATAGGATGTTAAAATGGCAAGGGATGTCAAGGGTGTTGTGTGGTCATCATATACCTTTGAGATTAAAAGAAAAATTTTATAAGATAATCACGAGACCCGAGTGTTAGGCAATGAAGAAATAACATATACAAAAAGTTTATGCTACTGAGATAAGAATGCTAAATGGATGTGTAGAGTTACGAGGAAAGATAAGAAAAGAAATACTTTTATTCAAGAATAATTAGGTATCGCTTCGATAGAAGATAAGATAAGAGAAAATCGTTTAAGATAGTATGACATATACTTAAGAGACTCCGGAATGCGATAGCCAGAAAAAGTGAAATGATTATTGTTAGTGGAACGAGAAAAGATAAAAAAAAACCTAAAAAGATTTTAATGAAAACTATAAATAAAGATTTAAGTACTTAGAACTTAATTAAACATATGATTTTTTATAGATCTCAATAGCGATAAAAGATCCATGTAGCCGACCCCAAATAGTTGAGACTTATGACTTTGTTATTGTTATTGTTGTTGATGCTATCTAGATGATAAAATCCAATTATCTTATATGGTAATATAAGAAGTTAAATTTAAGTTCTATGAGTACAGTATAAGTCAATTTAGAGTAAGCTGATCGTTCCGGAATAGTTACAAGACCCTCAGCTTCGAACTAGAGTAAGTTGATAGTTCTGCGATAGTGACCGAATATTTGAACAAAAAGGTGATTACAGTGTCCTCAGGTTCCAACCAGATTCCAAAGTTGTGGCAAATTCTCATTTCCCTTGTTAAAGGACATTTAGTTGCTGGTCCAGTAAAGAACCTAACTATTTTAAACTGAAGAAGCTTATCAAATATATAACGTTGTTAGAGCTATATTGCTGGCATATTTGAGCAAAACCACAAAGGAAAATTAGGCATTTTTCCCCAAATGGCTGTTGCATAGATTCAAACTATGAAACACGAGCAACAAGATCGACACACACAGTGCGATTAGGTCACGAATCACCTCAATTTTAACAAAAAAATCTAGATTTTCAATCAATTAGTGGAAAATAACTTGAAACTATAAATCAAAAGCAACAAGATCCGCAACACATATGACACATCACACAAAACAATTAGATCAAGAATCAACTCAATTAATACAAAAAGCCAGATTTACAATCAAATACACAACGATAAATTGAAACTACAAACCAAAAGCAACAAGATCCACAACACATAGGACATCACACAAAACGATTAGGTCAGGAATCAACTCAATCTATACAAAAAGAAGGTAAGTTCAGAAACAAAATCAAAAAATAAGAAGAAATTGCAGCTATTTTGGCCCTCAATTAGGCACCGATGTAAGAAAGGAGACACTTTTCCATCGCACGACACGTCAAAACCCGAAGCTCAAGTGGAAAACGTAATCGAGGGTTGTAATCGATTGGAAAACAAGTGGGAAAGAGAAGCAACCACGGAACACAAAAAGGAGGATGAGGAGGAGGTCGAGGGAGAGGATCGCGAACCACGTTGGAGTGGGTTTCCGCTGCCGCAATGTCGGTCCTCCACCCTCCCAAGGTACACAATGAATCAGACGAAGACAGTCGCAGTATTACCAGACCAGGGAAGTAACCCCCGTCAATAGCGGATCGGATTCTTTTACTAGTATCCGTGTTATCCGATCCGTTTAAGTTAGATCCGCATAAACTGTGATACAAC